AATTTCAGGGAATACATGAAAAAATGCATCCAACTGCATTCGCAACTAGAACCGAAAAAAATTTGATTGATATCCACATTTGAAGTTCTGTGAAATTAAAAAATTCTCACACCAAACTACAATAATTTTTTCAATGTTATTGAAGAAAAATGCAACTTTCATTAAAAGTTCATATAAGTGCATAAGGGGTGACAATGCAGATACCGATTAGACAATCAGCATTCCGTCTGACAAAAATAAACAAAACCTCATAAGTTTTATGCAAATCGGCCCACCCGTTCACGAGAAGCCGTTGACACAACAAGTTGACAAAAATGAGAAGCTACAGGTAGAACGACTTCGCTATGCTCAGCATAATTAAAATCACAAAATGTATCAAAGTTTTACTTTAAGTAACAACGAAGTTGATATTCTGGCTGTAAGAGAAAACAAGCCAACAATATCGACCAACTATATTATAAATCAGCATGAATTCTTTGACAGTATTTTTGGCTAATATCACGAATAAAACTATGTTCAACAATAATCAAGATTATGGCGAAGTATACTACTGATTTTTTATTCATATTAGAGCAATAAACATTATAAATGCCAATGAAAGTTTTATTTTTGACTCAAAGTACAATTTAGAACAAATACTGTTATTTTTTTCTGTTGAATCCCTTATGCTAGATTTGTTTATATAGAAAGGAATGAAAAGAAGGAGTACGAAGCTTTTTCAAAATACATTCATCGAGAATCTGAAATATTTTTCATTCATCGTTTGTTAGTCGTCAAAATTTATCCGTCAAAATTCCTAGAATAATTAGGGCCTCGTAGAAGAAAAGCGAGCTTTAAATTCGAGCTTTCATAAGTTATTTTATGTTGATTTCGTTCATAAATTATTAAGCGGCTTTGTGGATATGCAAAGAGAACACAGAGCGCGGTATTCTCTTTATTTGCATCGGCAACGAATGTAACGCAAACGTATGTATGTAAAGAATATGCAAGAAAACAACTTGAAAATACATCCGCATTCGAAAATGAGCAATTCAAATTGTCTTTACTTTTTGATGCTGTCATCAAAACTCCGTGATAACTTTCACAGAAGAAGCTGAAATTTTTTAAATTAAGAAAGAAAAGAAACGAGTACAACACACGTTAAGATCATTACTTCGAAGTTCTCTGTACATCAAGTTCCGATGTGACGTTACAAAAAAAAAAAAAAAAATAAAACAGATATTACAGATGTAATTAACGAAAAATTCAAGTAGGTACTTCAAGTTGGTCGTAACGTACGGGTTGTTGCCGGCGAAAAAACACCGGCGTAGAAATTTCGCTCGTTTAATTGAACAGGGGTCGTTTAATTTGAACAATCTATTTTTTAGGTGAACTCGCAATTCAATGACATCACGAACTCTCGAAGATTGTTTCTCGCAAAAATGAGTCGCTACTCTAGAAAAGTAAGAGATAATACTTTTTACTTCGCGAGTAATTGTTGTTTTTTGTCGCAACTTTCTTGCCGTATCGAACAGGTTTAGAAATTTAATTGTTTTTTTTTTGTAATCATCGTCATCATAATTACAGCAAAACTTTATTAGTTCAATTAGAAAATGGGGATACAGCTGTCATATCTAAAAATCGAGCTGTGTCAAACTTGCCCCTCGGCGTTGAATTTTCGATAATACCAGTAGAAAAAATTCGCAGCTATACCCGACTCTCTACCTTTACAATTGTTTTATACTATGTAGTCAAACGCGTTTCCATCGAAGATTTTGATTTGTATACTTGAAAAAAGGATGAACTACTATTAATAAAAAAAACTGGATTCTGTGTAACTAATATTAAGTGACAATAAATTGGCGAGACTTGAATTAACCCAGCACTCTCGACGTGACACCTTACACCTAAACTCGGACTGTTCTCATTTGAATTTGTTTATCTTTTACGCGTCGCGAAGGAGTAAAACTACGAGAGGTCTCTGTTATCCTTAGGATTGTTGTTCTAAAGTAAGCGAAATTACAATAAAAGTATAAACAGCATCGCTGAATCGGCCAAAGACTATTGTCAAATAACTTACCAAAAAACAAAGTAAAAGAAAAAAGAAATGGCCAAAACGAAGGAAGAAAATTAAAGAAAGCCCGGTTTTTTTTCGAAATAATCAATCGTTGGGCTACGCAATAGCAGCAGTAGCAGCAGCATCGGAGCTAACAAAAGGAAAGTGGGTCAGTGCAGGCTCTCTTTCTCTCTCTTACGAACAAACTCTCACCACCAGCAGCGGCATCGGCTATAATTATATATATACGTATTTACTCCACCCGTGCGAACGTTCTCCCTTTCTCTCTCTCTCTTAAAACCTCGCACGCGCGCGGGAGTGAATGGCGTAAACAAAGCGAATTATTATCGTATAGCCGCCACGCGGCGACCACCACCGCAGCTGCTGCTGCTGCACAATATGGACCGCGTTTCAACCCCCGCTGCCACCCGCGCGAAAAAGCAGCAGCAGCAGCAGCAGCTCCGATGAACGAAGAGCAACGTACCGACGGCGCGGCGTATCGTCGTGTGCAACGAATTCGAAGTGTATACGTTTTTTCTTTTTATCATCGAATACATTACACATATTATTCGCGTGAACTTATAGTTCTGGCTCTTCGTGCTGTATATAATATACGCGTACCGGGATGGAGGTCAGCGAAACCACTTGTTCGGTTTGAAAAAAGCAGCAGCGCCGACCGACCGACCGACCGACCGCGCCTATTATAATAACGTTCTCGCGAGCTAAATATCGATGCTATATATTACTCTCGTGCGCGCACGCGGACGCGACGATGCGGCTCTTTTTCTTGTTTTTTTATATCTCCTGTTTAGCGCACGGTTAATTATAACACACACACATACGATGAATGTGTGTGTATGTGATTATTATATACGTGCCGATGATCGTGCATAGCGGCGGCGGCCGTTGACCTATATTTATAATATTACGCGCGCGTCGAGAGAGAGCTCGAGCAATGCGATATGGCCTTTTGTCTGCGCGCGCGTATATGTAGTGTATGGATAAATATAAGGATATATATGGGATATATAATACGCGCCGTCGTAATAATAGGGGCTCGCGAACGAACGACGCGTGCGACGAGCTGATATACCCTGTGTGACATACGAGGCCTATATAGGCGCTCGTCACGGTATTAAAGTAAGTCAAGACTTTTTAGTACACAATAGTTGAGCTTTCGATGTGATTTTAGCCTAATATTCGTGTGGCGATCAGTGTATTGGCTTCTTTTTTTTTTTTTTTTCATGGATTTGTACAGCGGTTGATTGTCGCTTCAAGGTTAGTTATCTAGCGACGGATGGAATTTCATAGTTAGGGGTATGACAAAGAAGATACGTTTACATTTTTTTCCATATCGTAACGCGAGCCTCGCGCGAAAATCCCCGAGGAAATTTCACAATTTCGTCCTACATCGGTATTTAGGTAATAAATAATATCGATCGTTTTTTAAACGTCGCTATTTGAATTTTATCGAGCTCTCTTAAGTCGCTGGGTGTCAAAGAGTCGAAAATTGTAAGCTACCATAATTTTGTGAGATTTCCCAGTGGAAATGATCCAGCAAGAACGGATTCGTTCTAATTAACCACGAGTAAGATTTGTTGGAATTCAAGTGCACGGGGGGTTGATCGTCGGCATCGGTAAAAACAGATTGCTTCCCCGCCCACACCCCCGTATAACGTACGGTGCAAGATCTTATACTCGGATGTAGAGAGAGAAAGAGCAAGAAAAGCTCGTACACAAATTAAGCACCCGCAGATAGATGCGATCGAATAAAAAGTATAACAATTATTAATTCGAGTTAAAAAAAAACTGCGATATGGCAATTATTATGGAATATAGAAGCGAGAATGATTTTGACGACGTCTTGCTTTTCAAAGAGCCCTCGCATCGCATCCGAGCTATATAGCTAAGTAAGTGTGTGTGCGATGCTGCTCCACTAACCTAGCCAACTTTTCGTGCAGCATACATGCTACCCACGTTATATATCGTCGACTATACAGTACGGTACACAAGACGTTTAATCTCGTGTTTCGTTGAACGACAATTTGCACATAAGAGGAGGAGGATTCGATCATCCTGCCCGCATATGTATACAAAAACACATACGTGTAGTCGTGTTTGCGTATCGTAACGCGAGATGTATATGTACGTCGAGCGAAAGAAAGAAAAAAAAGAGCGAGGAAAAGCGAGGAAAATCGTACGAGGACGAGTATATGTGTGCGCGCGCGAATACGTACGATAAGGAGGGCATCCATCCCTCTCATACCAGTGCCGATCGGCTCGTATATGTATACGACATACAAGGGAAACGACTCGGTGTGCGTGCGTACACACTCGAGAGAGCGCGCGGGCTTCGCTAGACTCGCGCGCGTGTCGTGTAGGCCATTTGCTGGTGGTGGTGGTATCGTAACTGCCGCGAGAGCAAAGGAGATAGACTGCGGATCGAGGGAAGAGGGGAGGGCAGGGGGGTGAGGGGGGTGAGGCGAGGTGCGCGCCCCGTGCGCAGCATCCACGCAGCAGCAGCAGCAGCACGCCGACACGCCCGCTCCGTCCGTTATAGTCCTCTCTCCGTTCGTTCACTGCTGCTCTGCTGCTGCTGCTGCTCTGGCGTGTGCGAGGCAGAGGCACACGATGAGGCCAAAACACGGCACACACAGGGCGCACGAGAGGAAAAGAGAGAGAAATGATGAGTCAAGTCCATCATATAGTTCGCCGCCGAACACACTTTTTTTTCGGCGATCCCCTCGCGCGCGCTCGTTACACGTTACGCGTAAAAATCCAATTAACTCGAATGGCACTGCGAGCTTTTTTTTGGCCCAGCCGAGCTTTTTTTATTTTTTTTTTAGGCGCGAGCTTTTTCGTCGTCGCAGCAGCCGAGTAAAAAGATGCACAGGACGAGGACCCCATGTGTGTGTTTTGTCGGTGTGCGAGGGAATAAAAGACGATGACAAACACGAGAGCTTACGGAGTTCGATGTAACGACGACTGGAAATCTTCTTCTCTTGCTCCTTCTCGTCTTCATATTATCATCGTTCTTCTTTCATCGTCGCGATACTCTTCATCCATCTTCGATTTCATCCGAGTCACAGGACCACAACCACCATCACCACCACGCGTGAACACACGCGCTGAACAACTCACAAACTACTGCTCTCGCGACACATGTATTATGTATTCGTCACTGCTTGCTTTTTCGGGTCAACGCGCGATCCCAAGAATGTCGTGTCGTGTCGTGTGTTGTCTTGGGCATCAACGACATCGGCATCGTCGAACGCAGCACTGACTACTACCCCCCATGCGTCGTGAATGAGATATACTGGACACGAGAGACAAGAGAGAGACACTTTATCTTCGGCGCAGAGAGGCAGCACAAAAACACACGTACAGAGAGAGACACAGAACTGAAAAAAAGGCTAGGAAGAAGGAGCTTTTTGCCGAAACGAGCGAGCACGCGAAAAACACACGAGTCTCGGCTTCAACGACTCGAAATGTCGTCGTCGTTGTTGTTTATTTATTGCTGCTGACTGCACTAACGTAAAAAATCTGACCCGTAAGTCCGTGTATACAGAGAGGCGGTCTGTTGACTGCACATATGCACACGTAGTGTATAGATGCGAGCGAGAGCGAGTCGAAGGGAGAGCAGCAGAGCGACTAGTATAGTAACGCACAAGCTGCGCTCGGTCGCGCGACTGGACTGTGGCGAAAAGCTCTCTTCTCTCTCTCTCTCTCTCCGCTCTCCGCTCCGGCGCTTTTCCGCGAGCAAGGGAGAGACTATATACGATCTTGCCTCTGCGCCTGGCTCCACTCTACGCTGGATGGAGCTCTCTGTCTCTCTCTTACTCTCACGGCTCCGCTGCTGCTGCTCTAGAGCCTGCGCGTGCGTCTATGCTATGTGCGGTGCGCGTGCACTGATGCTGCTGCTGCTACTGCTGCTACTCTATATGTAGCTGCCGCGCCAGAGGCGCGCGCTACACGCAGGTCGCCCCGCCGAGCCGCCTCAGCTGAGGCGAGAGCGGGGAGGAAATAATTTGTAAATAGTTTAAATAGCCATGTAATTAGATATAAGTCTCTCTCAATAAATAGTCATTAAGCCGAACACGCGCTCCTCACACCTCATTTATCAAGCACCTGCACCCTGGCCTCGGAATCTCAACATATATATATATTGGATGCGCCGATGCCGCCACTATATTATATATCTGCTAATATCTGGCCAAAAAGAGAGAGAGGGCGAAAATCTCGACTATATGTAGCCATATTAGCCGAGCGCGCGTTACTCACTAGGTAATACTGCTGCGCTAGGTCTATGGAGCTTTTATGATGTACACCGTATGAAATTCCCACGCCGCCACGGTAAACATTTCACTTTGTTCAAACGAACGGCCACGAGCGATGCAGCTGTCCTTTTATTATTTCACTACGCGCGGTACGACGATTTAAAGCTCGAGAGGGTACGAAAAGATCCACTGAAGCGGAAATGACACCTCCGCACGTCGCCAACAATTGTAAGTCGTGCTATATAACTGTCTACGCTGTAGAGTTCGCGTTTACATCGAAACATTTTAGCATATCGAATTACGTCCGGTCGAACGTGCCCTATATATCGGACAAGAAAATCGACAAAATGTCAATATCGATTATACATGCCAATGATCGATTTTGATCGATCGGGCTCGAGAGGGGAGATCGGTAATAGGCAAAGCATCTGAAATTTTCTATACATGAATATGCATACTCTTTAGGGTGAATAAAAAGGAGGCTAGTGGGCGATCGGCGATTAATTTATAGCTGCTAAACCATCGTTCGCGCAGCCCCCTCCGCTGCTCGTTGCTCTCCCTTCGCCGCAGATATTCTCTTTCTCTCGGCTGCACCGTATCTAAAGCTCGCACTTCACTCGGCAGCTGCCAAGCGGTACTCGAGCCGCGCGTGCATTACGTGCATACAATATATATAGGACGTGGCTGCAAAAGGCCCTACTACACACCCCGTGTGCGGTACTTTGGCACGCGCGTTCGCGATCGCGATCGCGAGGGAGACGAGAAAAGCTCGAACAGAGGCCTACATATACTTTTATATCCCGTGAATCGTAACGAAGCGTTGAATTCAAGTTTAAAACCTATTTTATTCGCCACATTTTCTAGACGCGTCGTGACGTCCCAAAACAGGAGTCGTTTACAACAGATATTCCATGACGATCAGTTGCTTGACATTGCAACTGATCGATTGCGCTCGTGATAATTTTGCTGCTGCCTCGCTCTCGCTCGCTCTTTACCTAAGAATTCGTACGCGCCATATAACGATGATCGATCTGAAATTAATTGCCGCGAGATGGAATGATGAAGTTTGCAAGTTGTGCAGGTGTGTATCAAGTCTAGCGCCACGCTACAAAGTTAACTTGTAAACTTGTACTCGTGCAAGGAGTGAGGTGAAGATAACAAGTCGCAGGGATTTAACTTGCGTGAAAATAGCGAGAAAAGTAAATCACTATCGAAGTCAAGCATATATATAGCATTCAAAAGTGGGTGTATAGGCTTCGAGATAATTGCAAAGGTTCCACGACTATAGGCCCTTCTCCGCCGAATCGGTCGTGTTCGAGCTTGCGCTTAGAGGAGAGAAAGTTTTGGCCAAGAAACCTACCGATACGGTCGCAATGGTTTGTATCCCCTTCGATTCCAAGTTCATAAGTACAGAAATCATGTCCCCGAAGCGTCGGTAAATTCTAACTTTGATCAATTAATCTTGAATCTGACCAATGACATCGATCGGGCGTTAATTGCCGAAACAAAGCTCAGCTCATTAGCTGCTGCTGCTGCTGAAAGCCTCGAATTTCTCGGTCTCGTCGCTTCCGCGGCGTTTGCTCGCCACGCTAGTTACGATTTGTCGCGCAGCAGGCGGCAGCGGGTCTCGTGCAAATATAACAATCATATAGAAGTTAACTCAAGGTAATGATAAAATTACTCGAGAGGCGGGAAAGATGAGCAACGAATATTATTATATACACGCGGGCACGTTGAATTGTTAAAAAACTATCGTGAATGGGATTTAAGACTGCGACAAATTTACTGTGGCGTTAAACCGGCATAACGCAATTGTAAAAAGTATAAGACGCAGAGAATAATAAATAAGATATTGCTCGTATACGAGTGCGGAGCAAGGCGCAGAAAGGAAAGAAAATTACATTTTTTCCAGGCTCGAACGCGAGAGATGTAATATGCGGCGGCAGGTTTTCTTTATTTTATACAGGGTTTTAGGTGCGCCGGCGACATGCACAAACGGCTTAATACGCGCGCGACTCGTACAAGTTAGAGGATCTCACTCTTTCTTCTCGACTCTTGCTCTTTATTTTTTTTTATCTCGAGTCTATATGTATATGTGCACTGCACTCGTAAACATGTACACACACACACACACACCTATATGTGCTTTCTTCGTCTCTGTATATTTCTCTTACTCTTGTGTCGCAAAAAAATGTGTAGCTTCCCACTGCCCCGAAGGTAGAAAAGTATTGCCCCCCGCTGCTGCTTCTGTTGCACTCGAGGTAAAGAGACTCGCCAAACGCAGTCGAGGAGCACGACGACGACGACGACGACGGCTGAGACACTCGTACTTCTCCCTCTCTCTCATTGAAGAACAAAGCTAATGCCCTTATATACCTACGCGTAGGTCCACGCGCGACGAAAGGGAATGCGATAAAGATAATGAGACGAGCGTAGACGTGTGTGCGTGTGTGACACTCTTCGAGTGCTTATGGCTATATGTATACTTATACGCGTATGTCGCTGCTGAATTTTCGTACCTAAAGTGTACCACTTACAATTTAATGATGAAATATTATATTCTCTCTCTCTCTCAACGTATAATGCTTGCATGTCTGAGCCGCGACGTCACATGCATAGCGAGGCTCCTGCAGTTTTAGCCATTTTTCTTCATTTCTCTGGCCGAGCCGAGCCGAGAGGACAAAAGTTGTAGTTTAGGTATTTATACACCGCAGACTTTACTTGGCCTTTTGTCAACTCGTCGACGAGTAGCAGCAGCAGCGTGTCTTCTAATGCTGCTCTCCTGAGCCTATATACCTACTCGAGAAAAAGAAGTCAACGAGAAAAAGAGGCGAGCGTAATTAGCGCCGCTATTCAGCTCGAGCTTCCTATAATGCATAAAAATACCTGCACGTGTACACGTGCTCCTTCTCCTTCTCCCACACTGCTGCTCGACAACGTGAATGCAAAGTTAATCAGCCTATCCAGACTCTTTTTCGATTTTTTTTTCATTTCGCCGAACCGTCGGTTTTTCTAAATTATCGTTTTATAAAATATGCACCAACACCTCGCTCTGTACCCGCGAGAGATTTTTTATCTTATTATTTCGTATGAAACCAAAGTCGAGCGAAATTAATTTTACCGCACTGGGCTAGGCGCACCGGAGCACAGAGCAACGGGCCGAGAGAGTACCAATGCGCGAGAGAGCTGAGAAAAAATTACTGCGAGACAAATAGCGAGCCAAGGTACACAAATGGAGCAGCAGTGGAAGAGGAGAAGATTAAAAAAAGAAAAATTAAAAAAAAAATCATGTTCCTGTAATGTAGAGTACACGAAAAATATATAAACTCGCGTTGAGCAAAAAATGACTGAAATACGAAGACAAGGATCTTATTAGTTTCAAACAAAAGCTACGGTTTCGACACGTGAGAACTATGAAAAAAAATCTCTCGAACTAGATGACAATGGTATATAATTTTTAATGTAATATTTAACTATTCTTCAATCCTGATGTACAACGCCGTTTTTTTGAATACTTAATAAAGAATTATTAAGAGAAAATACAAAAACACTTTTTTCGTAGTAGCGAAACGATGCAAGTTAATAGTATTTGAATAAAAACTGATTTAGGTTTGATCGTTTATCAAAAAGAATTACGGCTTTTTGTGAACGGAATGATAATACTTTTATTTTCATATTACCATTCACGCAGCTCTACAATCTGCGATCGTATCTGAAAACGGCCTTTGCCACAAATGCGGTCGATATGCGCAATCTTCACTCGCGTATACGAGCGAGTCACGATTAATAATTCGTGAACCATCCACTATTATTAGGAAGTTTTGCATGGGGGAAAAAGGTATGCACAAGGAGAATATCAATTTCCTTGGACAAACACGAGCGTACAATTTCTTATAACATAATTATTTAATAAACTCACATTTTCGAGTAATTTCGATTAATTTTCAAGTTAATTAGACGGCAGAAGCGAACTTTATTAATGCACGGTCTCGAAACAAATTTTGTACGAAATTGAAATTCGTCCTCGATAAAGTATCGTAAAATGTATATTCTCGCTCGAGTTTCAACTTTTATGACGCGCGACGCGAGCGCGCGGGGTGTCACGCTGTGGGGGATGTTCGTTTTCATATTCTACGCACAAAAGAATCGTATCTGCAGATAACTGCGTACGGCACTAAAATGCCGCTGGGAAAACGCATAATTTTATCTCTGTGTGTGTCTTTCTCTCCTTTTTCCGTGCTTACAAGCGAAAAAAAAAATTCAGCGCACGCATGGCTAGAAAAGATTTTTATCAGTAAAATTATCTAAATGTACTTTGATAATTGGGATCATTTTCTTGCGAATTTTAAATTTTCGTTCTAGGTATGATTTGATATTTAACGTTTTGAATTTATGTTTAGATAATAAGTTAAGCACATAAAAGCAGTTTATTACAAGAAGTGCAAAGATTGTAATGTTTTGATTTAAAACTTGGATTATGTTTATAACAATTTTTTATCCAATTAGTCAAGTTTAATTATTACTTGCTTATCCTTATCAAATTTCTTTCTAAAGTTGGCGGATATCTATCTGAAAATTTGTATAGTCGTAAAACTTCCTTGAATTTCCAAATGAATAGGTGCTTCTTTGAAATGAACTACAATCGCGGAACATGTTTTAGATCACTGTCGGTCCCTTACAAATTTGTTGGAATTTCTCAATGAAATTTTTGGCGTTGTTTCGAATTATGAGGAAGTGAAAAAAATCAATATTGTTTATTAAAATTTCGATCAGTTTTAAGTTACATGAAATGAAAGTACATGAAAACTGTTATTCACTTTACAGAACAGTTGCAAATCAAAAATTACGTGAAGCATATTAATTAAAAAGTTAGTTTTAAACAACCTAATAAATTAACTACAGTAATGAGCTGTTTTTAATGAGTATCAAATATCAACTCAACAAATTTTCAAATGAAACCTTTGCTGCTCGTAAATATATATTTAAAATTTTAACTCGGAATAATTACAGAATGAAAAAGATAAAAATTATGCAGTTTAAAGTAATTGATTGTAAAATCAGAGTGTCTGTAGGAATGAAAGAATCAAATACATTATATAAATGTTTCCAAAATTTATTTGTGCTTGTAGAAGCCAGTAGATAAAATTTTATCATTTGTAATATAAAAAGAAATTTAGCTTTTCATTGATACATGATTAAAATTTTATTAATGTTTTCAGTGGGCAGATGATAATTTTATTTTAATATAAAAAAAATTATACACATTTGCAAAATCAGAACTACCTGCAAGTCGAATGAAATAACTGACAAACAGTTTAAATAAAATAAAACAATTCGATTTGAAGGATGTCTTTACTCGACTGTTGGAAATTCAACCTAAGAAATATTTTTATTCGAAACACACGTCTTATAAAGTCATAAGTCATTGCATTTACAATTTTCAAGCCGTTGTTGCAGATTTACACTGCATTTCTATGAAATTCAGTTACTTATCAATAAATATTTATAATACCTATATAACAAAAGCCCGGCTTGAAAAGGGCAGTTAAGTGGCTCGATAAACCACATTGTTTTTCGTACAATACAAAATAATTGTAAAAGAATCACATAAAGTATCCAAAACCAAAAGTTCTTTTGATAGAATCCCAATAATACCGATTCCAGTTCTCTTTCGTCGATGACTCTTCGCTGAAATTATAAATAATAAATAAATTTTAGTGTCGTTTTAAAAAGGATTTTAATAATAAAAATAATCTATAAATATTCTACCTGGACGGGACACCAGTTTGCGTTACGTTGACTTCAGTATGATCGCTCTTTTCAGCTATGTCAAAAGTTACATTGCTGTAATGTCCATCAGGCCAAGCTTTACATCTCCATTTTTGTACTATTTTAGTTGGTGAAAGTTCAACAAACTCTCCAGAAATATTTCCACCGAAAAATTCAAATTTGCCACCCTTGACAGCATCAAGTTTCACAGCACTTTTCGTGAATGCTGTAGCCATCTAAAAATCGATATTTTCGAATTATTCATAAATTTTTCATCTTTTCAAAGTAGCTAACTTTTATTTTCTTAAAACTATCTAATAAAATTATTTTTAGGTTTCATTAAATTTTAATCCTAAAAAGTAGAATATATGAAATAATAAAAAATTGAAAAGTAGAACAGAGTAAAAAGCCTATACAACTTACTTCAGGGGAAGTCATGACATTGTAAAATTCTTCAGCTCTGCACATGAACTTTTGCTGTTGCTTAACTGCAGTTGTTGATATTTTAACTCCAGTAGATTTATTTGTAGTATTAGTAACAGCAGCATTCATTTGCATCTAAATTGAATAATAAAAAATATTAATTTTCATTTAGATGAGAAAGTAAAAAATCTTTTATTCACATACCTTTACATTAAAGCCAGATGTCAATTGATTCATTTTTTCATTGGGACATTGATCTTTCTTTGGAAGAATCATACCTTTCGTGAACTCTGCAATCAAAAATTTTTCAAAATTATAAATCAAATTTTCACAAGTTTTACATTTGAAAAAATATTAGTAAGTAATGTGTTTCTGCAGTACCTTGTTTTAAACTCGATACATAATTTTGTAATTTTTCTCTAATAACATTTTTTCCTTGTGTATGTAAGAAGTGTTTCACTTTTTCACCTTCGTCGGTGCTGTCTGATAATGTTATTTCAATCTGGAATGTGGTAAATAAAACAATAATTCATAATCTAAGAATTTTCAACATAAATATTGGTATATTCATATGTTTTTTAATAACTTACATCTACTTCAGATATTTCATTTTCTTCCGAGAGGTTAGGAATATTGATTTTGCCCTCAATCTTCTTTTTATCAGAATTTTTGCGGGGACAGCTCCATTTCAGTACAATATTCCATTCGTAAAAGAAAATTAGTTTTCCTTTTCTATTATTTGCCACTGCTTCACCCTCAACTTTTTCAGGTTCTGATATTTTGCATTCATCTGTAAGAAAGTATAAAAATTGAGGTCAGCTAGAGGTGTAACTATATCATTAGCTAAAAATAAAATTTTCAAATTTATAAAATGTACTCACACTCATCTCCTTTAATAACTAAATTTGTAAAAAGTTCTCTGATTTTGTTTTGTGACCAAGCACAGGCATTCTTTTCAGTCCTGAAAGAAAATTCGAAGAATATGTATAATTCAAGTAATAAAATACATATTCAATAAAATGACCGAATCGCAGAGTAAAAAAAAAATCGTTTCAAAAAAATTTGTTCAACCATGCGTTCACGATATTTATCAATTAATAACATTGTCGTAACACCGTAAAAAACTTACCAATGCCAGTTGTTAACGTTTATAGCATCGGGCCTCTCTTCGACAATCCATCGTGGATCTCCTTCACCCCACTTGGCCATTATTTATATTAATTTGAAAATAAAAACTGTCTCTCGTTAAAGATGATAATTGATAGGTGCTCAAAACCTACAGGACAAAATGAAAAACACTCAGTCGTATTCGCACAACGATGACTCAGAATTTTCGAGTCAGTAGTAGTAGGAAGCGAGAGAGTTAGAAGTGTAAAATAACCGAGGCATACAGAATTTTTCCCAGTTTTATGACGTGTGTCGATCGAATATACTTACACCGTGTGTAAATTCGGAGCAGAGCAGAAGATGAATGTCTAGAAATTGCTAGATAATTCTGTGTCTCGTCTCCCTCGCTGTGTGTGACTCTAACACGTTGATGTCTCTCTTTCACAACACAGGGACTGTCAGAAGAGAGCAAAAAAATCGGTCGTTCGTTGAAAACAAAAAAAATAATAATAAAGAACAATCGATCGGACGATCTAAATATCACTTGGTTAAAATATTATGAATACGAGATGCGTGTGTGAGGAAACGCGTGTGCTGCTCGCGAACACAGTCGGGGTCGCTCACTCTTTGGCTGCTCTCGAAGCGCGTGCGAATTTCAACTGAACTTGTGACTGGGGGCCAGGCCGTATTATTATGCCGAGTCTGTCTGCGCTTGAATATAGGATGTATAGCGTGCGCACTAGTGAAACTTTCTGGAAACAGATGTCGCGGCACGACAGTCGTGCTGCGTGGACTTTGGAAGCGCTGAGCTCGCGAATTTCCGCAAACGCGAATGTTAGAGAAGTTTCTAGAAAATTTGCACAGCAAGTCCCAACGCGCGTTTCATGGTAAATTACCGATCGAGCCGATTTCAAAAGTATGACTTTGCGCACCGAAATCAAAATGAAACATGTTTTCTCCCAAACAGCTTTTGCTTTTTTTGAAGAAATTTCCATAAATCTTACTAATTTTTGTGTGACTCGTTCATCCAAACTTTATTTGCATAAATGTCGAGAAATGCGTAGAAGTTGTAATATAAATTATTTTTCATGCTTTCACACATAATCGGTATTAAAACATCGGTACTATTGTATAAATTAATTCGTATTTTATATTTACAATAAATTGCACGAAATGAACATTATGTACACCATAATAGAGGAGACATTCACAGGATGCTGGATAAATTCTTGAAAAGAGCCGAGGGTTTGAGATCGGTCTCCACTTCCTTGGGCTTGAGGCGCGCGCGATGGTCGCTCGGGGGTTTGACGAGCTCGGACTCGAGGCACGGATAAGGCTTGCTGTAAAAGTAGTCGTATCGAAGTGCCTGCGGCAAAAATTTATTCAAAATCGTGAACAATATAATTCGAAAATTCATTTCTCGTGTCATTGACACAGCCGCTGCTATATATAAGAAGTACCTGTTGGGCAGTCAGACGCTTGGACGAGTCGTAAATGAGGATGGCCTTGATGAGCTCGATGGCCTCGGGCTGGGCGTCGCTGATCATCCGCTCCCAGAGCACGCCCTTGTGATACGGAAAGGTGATCTTGTTGTAATCGGGCAGCGAGCTTAACTCGGGCCAGGACTCGGCGGTGGGCGAGCCCAGATGGCTCAGCACGATGGCCAACTGCTCGATGTCGCTCTCGCCCTGTCAGTAATTACGTAAACTCGTTCGAAATCGGTTGTCTAATCTTAATTATATAATAATTGTTTTTTTATCGTATGCTAACGGGAAAAATCGGCGAGTTGTTGAGCATCTCGCCGAAGATGCAGCCGACCGCCCACATGTCGACGGCGGCGGTGTAGAACCTCGCCCCGTAGAGCAGCTCAGGCGCACGGTACCACCTGGTAGCGACCTGATGCGAGTACGGCCGACTTATGTCCTGCCACATGAGTCGGCCAAGGCCGAAATCGGCGATGGTCAGCACGCCGTCCTCGCGTATCAGCAGATTCGCCGGTTTCAGATCCTGCGTGCGTGGTGGAAAAGTGAGCGAGAAAAAAAAACGTCGTTTGCATATTACCGCATGCCTGGTTTACATAAGCAAAGGAGGCCATTGCGCATTTGAAATGTTAAGTATATACATAAATATGATCGACCGAATGCGTTACGTACTCTGTGCATGATATTATTCGAATGCATGTAAGCGACGCCTTCGAGGAGCATTCGCATGTACGTTTTGATCTGGGAATCCGTCAGTGGCCTGTCGTAGTCCTTGAGCAGCTCCCACAGTCCCGAGGGCATGTACTCGAACACCATGACGAAGTCCAGGCCAGCCGGAAATGCATCCAACAGCTCCACGATCTGTCATTCGATTTCAACAGTCAAAAAAATGTCGCCTCGAAAGCGAAAAAGAAATTTTATCAATAACAAACCCAATAACAAAAGTATAGACACTCAAAGTCGATGAAAAAACAAAAAAAAAAAATAAAAAAAAAGAACAATTGCTCACGTATGGATGCTTCAGTCGCTGCAGTGTTTTGACCTCGCGAAGTACGGATATGGGTATACCGTCGTCGATTCTCTTGAGGAGAATGCGCTTGAGGGCGACCGGTCTCGGGGTCGAGCTCGATTTGTCCAGACCCTTGAGCACTACCCCGTGGGCTCCCTCGCCAATTTTGCCGGATATCGTGTATCTGTGCATTGGTACGGTTTCTTTTTCGACGTCAACTTGTGGCACGTGTGTACTGTACGAGAGGCAGGCAAAAGGATCGACTGTTTTCCTTAAAATCGTTGCCATGGTTACGACGATATTCGGAGCGTTTAAATTGGTGTCTTTCTTTATGAATCGTTAGCGTGTCGATCGACTGTTAATTCGAGAAATAAAATCACGAAAATGAACGTGAAAAGTTCTTGATTATATTGAGAATAAGTTTAAATAACAAGTAGAATGATTAATTTTACGAAAAAATTTAATGCTTATAAATGATTTTAATTGGATAATTTTTTTTCTTCTTCAAAATGTACATATTATTATTCGCTAAACTTCTTCTTGTTGTATACGTTATATAAGAATGATTAAATTTATAGTTCTATTTTATAATTTTTATAAATTTTTGCAGGTAAAATTTGCGGCGTGCAATCGAAAAAATCGACAAGCCCCCATCGAAAGTTTGTTTTTTTTTTGTTGCTTTCTTTCATTGTTTATATTGGCAATTACATTGTATTATCGTACAACGTCTACTTTGAAACGGTACGATTGCAAATGTATATCAATTGAAGAGAACGATCGTGTGCGGCAAAGCAAGCAAGCATGTCTTTTTTTTTGAGTTTGCATTTTACACAACATACTAATAATAATAATAATAATAATCATCGTAATAGTAATTAATAGTAATAATAATATTTGTATAATAAAACTTTAAAAATTTTTCAAACGTAAAAAATGTTAGTATTCTCTCTATAAGAATGAAGCTGAATTTGTGTTATCACGAAAACGAGTTTGCTTTACGGCCTCAACAAGGTTTGCGCACAATACAGTGTCAATCGCCATTGACTCCAAAGTCAATGGTTTTCGTGTCAGTTTTTTAACGAGTTTAAAGATATGAAACAAATTTTGTTTACGTATACGTTCAAGATACAAATAAAACACGGATATGTAACTTGCGTGTACCGTTCTTGATCGTGATCCAGGTGTTTTGATATTTTTAAAAAATCTTCTACATTCAAGCTACAAAATGAAATATTTCTTTTTTTGACTTTCTTTTATTAATCGTCTAATATGATTACACAATTTTATGAGTTACTTTTTAATCTAGAACTGTTCCTAACTCATCAGCAACAATTCGTTTGCTTTATCAATTTTTTTTTTCTCTCCTTTATCTGGATCATTTCTATATAAATTCTGAATGATATTTCTCATCTTTGCGCATAAAGTATCAATAAAGAAATAATTAAATTATCAGACATTGCATAAAATTTCGTTCAATTGAAACTTCGAAATTTCTATACTCGGACACTTGTAAAACTTTTAATACATAACACACCACATTTATCGATTTCCACTCTTTTTCATATGTTAATAATCGACGAGCACAATCAATCGACGCAGCTATGAATTCTTAACTTGAGCTACGTTCATTAAAATAAAAGATTGCTCTAATCGCAAATGGCGATTACTGTTACCAAAAATGATTTATAATATACCATCGTGGATAACAACGTAAAATCAAGATATCATGTTTCATGTCGGGAATCAGTAAGGATGGCGCGAAGTAAAACGTCGCCTGAATTAGTTATTAAATCAATATTTTATCAGTTTACATAAAAATTTACAAAGGCGAGTTTAAATATTTTCTATAAATCTTCATCTCTTTGTTAAAGACTAATAAGTAGGTAAGTATATAACACGAAGAAAAAAAAAGAAAAAGATTGAAGAATAAGAGGAGAATAAAATTGGCCGTGTGTCATATGCACAAGTCTTTAGTACATTTTAGAAAATATATTAATGTCCTATGGATCAAACGGTCTCCTCTTATTTCCTTTTGCAGAATTTTAACTTTTCTTCGTCATGCGCATGACACCATATCAGTTTGTATGTTTTCTTTTTTTCCGGAAAGAATGAAAATTTCATTCAACTCCAATTTTTTATTTTTTATAAGAAACGATGTTATATTAAATGTTTCAGCAGCATCCAGATTTAGAACCACTAATTCCCGAGGTTTCAATGTTATGGGCTTGGTCAATTTTGAGCTTGCTCGTTTGATCACCTGCTGCACTTGATGGTGGTCCAACCCTGCTCTTAATTTCTGCAGCCATAGTCATGAAAGCCTGTTCAACATTCATGGCATTTTTTGCAGAAGTTTCAAGGAATGGAATGCCCAGTTGATCAGCATATTCCTAAGAATTAAAAAAAATTCATTCACATTAATATTTGAATACTTTGATTACATTGCAAATATTTCATGTTAAATATTATGAGTCTATGAATTTACTACTTTAAATACTTTTTGACATTTAATATGATTATTAAAGCAATCTTATTTACTATTAAAAATGTATTCATAATGCTATGTTTAGAAATTGTGGTTTAGATATTGTGGTTATAGTCTTATAGAGTGCGATATAACTTCTTATACAGGATATTATCCATGAATTGATAAAAAACTAATCTCGTATTGCATTGGCTAAAATATGAAAGTATTTACCTTGGCAGTTGTATAATCAACAACTTTCTTGACAGTAAGATCAGATTTGTTTCCAACAAGTAATTTGTTTACATTATCACAGGCATAACGATCAATTTCTTCCAGCCACTGTTTAACATTATTGAATGAATCCTGATCTGTGCAATCGTACACTACAATGATACCATGTGCACCACGGTAGTAAGAACTAGTAATTGTCCTAAATCTTTCTTGACCAGCAGTATCCCAGATTTGGAGTTTTATCGTTTTTCCATCCAAGTCAATGGTCCTGATTTTAAAATCAACACCAATGGTACTGATGTAACTTTCTGTGTAGGTGTCATCGGCAAATCGGAGCAACAAGCACGATTTTCCTACACCGGAATCTCCAATAAGGAGCAGTTTAAACAGGTAATCACTGCAAAGTAAATAAATTAGCATTAGAACAAGTGAATGAATTTGACTATTTTGACTAATCAACAAATAATTTAATTAAATTTCAATACAATTAATCTAATTTCGTGGAATAGGTTTATGCTTTTTTGTATTCATAGAAACTTGCTTACTTGTAATGATAATTCAACAGATTATGTATTTTAAAAGTGAATAATCATTAGAAAAAAAAATGGTAATTAATTTGTAAGTGACAACATAAAGAAAAAACATAGAGTATGATACTAAACAAGTCAGACATCATCAGATGAAAAATCAGTGGAGCGTTAAAAACATTTAGTACGTGTATACATAAGTTATTTCGTTAATTCGCGTCTTGTTCAGTGCAAAAGAGAGTACAAAAATCGTTACGCATCGCTATATGAACGTGTCATACTTGAGCCCGAAGAAAAATCATACATATGAGAGACAAGTGCATGCAAAAGCATAAAGAATCGAGAGGGACGAAATCGGAGTCGTGTCTGAGCCGATCATCAATAGAAGTCACTAGTAAAGAATCGTAGCATTGGGAAGAGCTGGAGAGCCAAGGCAAAAGATGCTCATCAGCTGGGTCGATGTTGCAGTCATTCAGGGTTTTTTTTATGTATTCACGAGCGCGATATCGACACGCAGCTACGTATAATCTTTGACGATGTGCATAGACCATGCACATCGTCAAAGATGCGAGTCATTATACGTAGGAAAAAAAAAGGAGAAGAAATTATTCATCAATTGGCTCGAGTCGAGTATCTCCTGCGTAAGCATAGAGAGAGAGAGAGAGAGAGAGAAGCACCTGCAGAAAAGAGAGAGTGAGATAGCACGACGTGTAATGGTATACATGAAACACTATACAGAGAGAGAGACAGCCATTAGGCGAACGTATTCCCCGAACTAGCGCATATTATCCGCGGAGGTTAGGGACTCGAGATGCAAATTTAAAGTCGCGAATCGCCGAGATGCCAAGAGGATGAGTTAGAAAACAAGGAGCATATGAAGCCGTTGTTGACGCCTGTCGCCGTCATCGTCGCAGTCTCTCTCGTAGCATAATACACAACTACTACTGCTGCTGCTACTACTACTACTAGTATCGGCGACGATAGTGTATCCGAGCCATCATGACGGTATATAATGAGAAGGGGGCGAGCCTGCGTGCGTATATATGTATGTACACACTCGCACTCGATCGCGATTACTCATTACATATATAAGCAGAGAGAGAGAGAGATAGATTGTACATATGTAAGGCACAGCACGGACGCGTATCGTATACGTATTCGTCAGTCCACGATACGAGAATTTCATGCGAAATCGACTACGGGCTGCGACGCGGTTGTTGTACACGACGACGACGAGGATGGGTCAGGCGCTCAGCCAGAGATAAGCGCGCTGAGATACGCTGCATAATATAGCGCGTATAGGTGGCTAAGTGCACTAATTGCTTCGTTTGCACGAAAGCCACCAAGCAGCAGCGAGCGAATTATTTTGTAAAGCAAAAAGAGATGTACGAGGCACTTTCGAGAGTGCCAGATCACGCACACAGAGAAAGAGAGAGAGAGACACACAGACTCGGGCGCAGACAGACGGACAAACGGACACACACAGGCGGGGATTGATTCTTCGTCGATGTTTTTTTTTCGCTGTACGTTATAACTGCGCGTTACACCAGCAGGACGAGACACACAAAGAGCCCACTATTCGATTCGATTATGCGCTTAGTTTCTATATGCTATGCGTTTGTTACGAGTAAAAGTAAGAACTAAAACAACACCAAAAGAGCCAATGTATGGTAGAGCAAATTTCGTCAACACTCACTATTCGGGATTCATCGTGGACATGCTACGCGAAACTGAGCAGCTGCAATGTTATAAGTTGGCCACTAGGCGCTCTATTATATATCTATATAGTCGTCGACGGTCGTCGTCGTCGTCGTCGTCGTAAGGTGCGCGCGTGTATGTGTATGAGTGCACGACACTGAGTCTATCTCGCTCGCAGCAGTCGCAGAAATGCTCGTTGGCAGCTCCGTGTGTGTAATGCGTGGCGCCTTCAGCGAGCACAGCAGCAAGTCCTCGCCTATATCTCGATCGCTTCGTCGTTCACTATATATGTATATATCTAGCTTTAGGTGTGTGTGTGTGTATATAGCTTATGTATCTGCCGTAATATTCACGCAGCAACTGACGCACGGCCAGCAGCAACAAAAGTATCTATACGAGCACGCACACACGTATACTGCGCGAAAAGTGTATGTATGCGTGTGGACGAGTACCACTGAGCACCGAGAGCGCGAGTAGAGGTAGTATATATCGATGTCGTGGCACACTGGCTCGCGCGAGCGACTCCGAACTTTGCCGTTCTCGCGAGCTTAATAGCGGAGCAGCACAGCGGCGGCAGCGCGCGGCCCGTGAGTTTCTCCTCTATATACAACAATGTGTTGTGCATGTACACAGCCTGATACGACACACAACGATGCACAACTCCTACGTCTGTGCGTGTGACGTTTCTCACAACGTCCGAAAAGTTTACCTGCACACAGACACGCGTATTTTTGTATGACAATACGCTAAGAGCGAGTCGATAATGCGCGCGAGTCCCTGATTATACAGGAATTTGTATACGGATCATGTACCGATCGATGACTGCAGACTCCGAATTTCCACCTAACGGAGTGTTTTCCTTTTAAATTTGTTTACGCGCGCCTATCGTAGCGTCATCGACCCGGAGTCCCTACGTATATACTCAAGATTAGGCTCTATAAACCTCGTATTTGTTTTTACGAATGCATGATTCATCGTTTATTCGCATATTTATGACATTTAAATGGCTTCGATGATCGACAGCCGCGACTATGTATACACGGTGTCAATGCTTCAGCTCTTATCTTCGCCTGAAGCTCTTGACTGGCGGCGATCGTCTCGTACTATCCCAGAGCCTCCAAGAGCGAACTGGGAAATTTTAGCCGCACCGACGTTGAGAGTAGGATATGTTAAAAAATACTGCGATTGCGCAGGCAGTTGAGGCCCTTACGGTTAAATTTTCTGACACAAGCAGAGAGTAGAGAAACGTTATGGTATTGAGGTAGGGAGGCTCAAAACAATCCGCTGTCAGAGTGACAGAAGAATTTTTTTTTGCTGTTTAGACGTTCAAATTTTTTTTTTTTTTTCATATGCCTAATTTGAACGATTTAATGGTTTATTTTAAATAAAATACTTTTGATAAAAATAATTTGTATCATTTATTCATTCTATAAATAATATATCTTAAATCATAAATCTAAAGTTCATATGTACAGACTACAGATTTCTGACCACCTACTCTAACTGTTTTAAATGCACTATTTTTCCTTTTCGAACTAATTGGAATATGATTTTTATAGTTTCAATTCAGTCTAATCAAACTTATAATTATAAAACAATTGAATTGTAGCAAAAAAACTAAAATTCAATATTTTCTCATTCTGTCAATCTACTTTAAATTAAGTGCATTATTATTCTTCAAAACACTCATCTTCAGCTTTTGACATGGCATCGAAAATAGTTCTTTGTAGTTGTTTCTGCTTTCTATAAGGAAGTTTACGTAAACATTCCTCAACAAATTTTGCAAAGGCTCCACTTTCATCCAATTCTTTGGGTTGAGAAATCACTTGTTGCTTTAAAATATCAAGTAGTTCTCTATGAAGCTCCATGTTACACTCTTGCTTTCCTAAATTTTTAAATTCACATCAATTGATTTACATTACTCATTAGTTAAGCATACATAACATGTATTTTCAAAAGAAGTTGAGATTTAGCAATCCTACTTTTTTTAATTTCAATTGGGGACTTTTCATTTGTGCTCTCTTTTGTTGCATCTAAACTTGAATTTGAATCACCATTAAGTGTAAAATCCAATGAAAGATAAGGTGAACTTGTGCTCTCATTGCTGATGGATGAGTTGTTAACAATGATATTTTCCCTACTGCAAAAACACCAATATTTTATTAAAATGGAAAAAAATTTAAGCATTTTAATAATAATTAAAAGTACAAAGTTACCCACTGATCACTTAAAAATAGCATCTGATCGTAAAACCTGAAGGATGATTTAATATCTGATGGTGCTCCAGTAGAAGCATGTTCAATCATTTTATTTTTGGATTTTTGTTAAGAATCTAGAAGAATTCTCCATCTATTCTGAACAGTCTTTGGATCTATTTTACCTAAAATTTTTATTTTACTTTATTGCTAATAAATAATAAAGTATCAGTAGCAAAAGTGAAACTAACTATTATTCAATTCCCTTACAACACTTTCCCATGCTTTTCTTATGTTATGCAAACCTCTTTTTCTAAGTGGAACAGCATAATTCCAAAGACATTGTTTACTTTTAACTGCCTCAATGAGTAAATCATCCTAATAATCCCAATTGATATTCTTTTTATCTCTTTTGATTGACTTTGTATCAGTATCGGATATATGCTTTTCAGTAGGAATCCTGAATAAAATTATGTTAACAATAAAGTTTCAAAATCAATTCAGTTATCAATAAACATGTATATAAAACAAAATTTAAATTATAGATTACCGATGAGTATGAGGGTAGTCATTCAAGAACAGCATCTGATTATAAAACCTAAAAGAAGGTTCAATATTGTTTGTTGCCTCACTGGCAGCATGTGCAAAAATTTTGTTTCTTGCTTTTTGATAAGAATCACGAAGGTTTTTCCATCTTTGTTTAACTGCAGTTAAACCAAATTGTCCTGAAATTTTAGTTTTTAGAAAAATGAAAATTTTTTCATTTCAGTAAGATGTCTGATACTTACTGTGATTTAACTCTTTTAAAACATCATTCCAAGCTTGGTTCAGTCTTTCAGTACTTCTCTCTTTTAAAGAATAATTCCACAAGCAACTTCTGCTTCATACAGCATCAATCAATAACTCATCATAATATTCCCATTCATTAGTTTTTCTAGCTCGTTTGGCTGATTTTTTAGAATCTGGAATATCTACCAACTGATCTAACTGAGAATTGTTTATTTCATTTTCTAAATGATCTTTATTTTATTACCTAAAAAATGTAATTTCAAAAAGATAATGCAAAGGAGTTATAAATGTGCAATTGATCTTTAGATATGTGATAAATTATGCATACCTAAATATATACAACATTTTTGTGGATTTATAAAAAGAGATTGCTTTTTGTGGTGGATGTTATCAAAACACACATGCAGAAAGTAGTCGTAATATTCTTTTGGCAGGAACGATTTGCAATGTAAACATAATACTGTGACATATTCAAAATAATAGCACAAAATAAATTATTTATTTAAATTTATGTTCAATTTATCATTCAATATAATTATTAAGATAAAGTATACTAATCACGATAAAAAGGCTCACTCACGTTCTCCATCTATTCATTCGTCGGTCGAGCTATGTTTGCTCGAATCAGTGATTTAACAATACATTTTTTTTTATCTACAAAGCATCGAGCATTAAAAATGTTACACTGCATAACCTGAATGACAGGTAAAAAATCGTATGTTTATAAACAAGCATCGGGATGACAGCATTATGTTTACGTCCTATAATGGCTCACTACGGTGCGGCGGCTGACGGCTAGCCGCACTATATTTTATGGGCGCACTTGACACAGCTCGAGAAATGTGACGTCAAACTCGTATAAACTGCTGTTCTCTGCTGTGCGTAAGTAAACACCTACACCGCGCGATAAAAGTGTCATTATTACTTTCTCGCAGGACCTTTAAATGATTATATCCGTGAAGTTTATGGGGAGCAGAGGTACGATCAGCTGGCTTTTAAAACTACGCGTAGCTTCTCGTTTTACGGCAGGTTTGACCTCGTTACGAGAAAATCGTGTTGATACAGTATATCGAATTCGAAGAATCCATGAATAGGCTTTGGAGGTAAATGGAAGAAAGTCGCTTATACCCGTATTAGGAGCAAAGAACTGAATGTTTTGGAAATTCATATTGTTCTTATCTTTAAAAAATGCGCCTAAATAAATTATCAATAACCTTAGTATTTATAAAAATCTTAAGAACAAAAGCTTGAATTCACAGACGACGCTATTTTTCGTTACTCATTGAGCCAAGACAAAAGAGCCTCTTATTTAACTAATATCATGACTAATTAGCTCGTGAGTTATTCATAAACGCGCGCGACTCGCAATTATTATCTTATTATTATCATCGTCAGGCGTGTCCGTTCTGCAGAAATACGATACACATCTACAAAGCGTTGATTCGAATCTGCGCGCCATCGTCTGCGTTACTTATGTATTTGACGAATTCGCACTATAGCAGCGGCAGTGATTCTTAGAACCGACCGAACGGAGCAGCACTTCTGATTAAATACATGTATCTCTTGCTTACACCGTTATCTTCGCTCTTGCGATATGTATATTTAGGTGCAGGCATTGTGTTCGCTGTCAGCATCGGTATATAGCAACAAGTATCATGCACGTAGATGACATTGTTTTACCTATTCTCGCGTTGAGAAAAAAAAGGTGTATAATCGTCTGGCGACTCTCGGATATATATAGCCCAGCTAATGTCATCGATTATAAAGCGATACAAACGACAATATGCCAAAACTATGTTTAGCATACGAGATGATTCACGATCGAGTTAGACATATATACTCTATGTACATAATGTTAAGGCTATACATCGAATGTTATGGTATTGTAAACTGCTGTCTTTTGTTCTCTCTTTATGCCGAGCAGCAGCGTCTCTCTCGCTCGCACGCACGTCTCTCACGATGTCTCTCCCTCTCGCTTGTTCCGCGTGATCTTGACCAGTCTCGACACGCACACTTTGGGCCAAAATTTGCTGCTCGAGGGGGTGAAGATCGCGCATATATATCTTATATGTATATACGTTTGCTGCTGCCTGCTGCTGCTGGCGCGTGTGCGAGTGCTGCTGCAGGTGAGCGTTTTCTTTTTATGACAAAAGGAGGCCAGCGGGCCTACTTTACGCTGCTGCTGCTGCTGCTGCTCCTCCTACTCCTCCTCCTGCTCCGCGAGTCCTGCTGCACTCTGATAAATTAACGCACAGCCGCACCGCAGCCAGATATATATACAGCATACAGCACATAGATCCCGTATCGATAGATCGACGCGGATTGTTTTGGAGATAAAAGGCAGTTGATGCAATTGTATCCTGAATTCGCGACTGATATCGTCGTCGTCGTCGTCGGGGCGCCTTCCATCGACATCGACCAAGTGAGTATATACGCAACGTTCGCGTTTGCGTGCACCAGATTACGCGAATTCACGCGAATAAATCTCGCGCCTGACAAATGTCTCTCGACGCATACTTAACCTTGCGTTCTTTTTTTTTTTTTGCTTCCAGGACATTTATTTATACGCACTTATACGAGCAAGCTCATTCTATATCACGACGCCGCGATCGTCGATCGATAGGCACTCGACAACGGATCAAGACGATCGACGCATTTTTGACAGAGAGGACACAGCGATTTTGACGTTGACGAGTATATATTTTTGTTACATCGTCGCGAGTCGCAACGACTGCTGCTGCTGCTGCTGCTGCTGCTCTTCGAGAAGAAAGCGCCGCGCAACACCAACAGCAAGAGAGCGAGAGAGAGAGAGAGAGAGTGTACACAAAGACTGATTATATACGTAACGCTGCGACGTTTGTATATTAGTGACTCCGTTTTTCTACTTAAAGTGTTTATACCACAAAAAATTACGCGTGTGCCTTTGTTAATAAAATTGTTGATGAGAAACGACGAATGTTTCAGTCCGGAGTTTTATGGGATTAGATATTCAAATGGATACTAGCAGTGATTATGAACATGAATTTGTTGAGCATCCGAGATGCATCGTTCATCTCGATGTTGACTGTTTTTATGCACAAGTCGAAATGATATCGCATCCTGAACACAAAGGAAAGCCATTGGGTGTGCAGCAAAAGAACCTCGTGGTTACCAGTAACTATGAAGCAAGAGCTTTCGGAGTCAGGAAATGCATGCCAGTCGATGAGGCACTGCAATTATGTCCAAGTTTAATTTTAGTCAGAGGTGAAGACTTGACACCATATAGACGTATGTCAGCTAAAATTGCTGAACTCTTGCACCAGTTTACACCGTCAGTAGAAAAACTAGGACTCGATGAAAACTACATTGATGTGACATCTATTATTGATGGTTATAATGTACATAATGTTAATAATGAAAAAAACTTTGAACTCGATGATGATTCTTCTGTCAAAGAATGTATAACTAGTATGTGTGAATTAGAAAATGCCGAAAAAATAACACCAGTTGGTGAAATTTTCAGTGATACAGAAGAAGAATGCCCTTGCAGATGTCATAAACGTTTAGCGGTGGCAAGCATAATTGCCAAGGATATGAGATATAAAATTTACAGTGAATTAGGGCTGACTTGCAGTGCCGGTATAGCTCACAATAAATTATTAGCAAAATTAGCTGGAGCTTTACACAAACCAAATCAACAAACTTTAGTTTATCCATTTTCTGCAGCGGAATTAGTTTCTTCCTTAGGTTCAGTTTCAAAAATTCCAGGTGTTGGGCGTAGAACAGCTGAGTCTTTAACAGCGAATAATATTAAAACAGTTGAAGATGTACGTAAAATACCTTTAGATAGGCTACAAGTTAAAATTGGAAAAGATTTAGCAAGAAAAATTAAAGACTATGCTGAAGGTAAAAATAATAATAGTTTTTCTAAAGATTTTTTAATAATTTAATTACTTTTATATATTAATCTGTTAATTTTTATAAAGGTATTGACGATACACCAGTCAAGCCAACAGGAAAACCTCAATCTATTGGTCTAGAAGATGGATTTAAAAAAGTTTCATTAGTTGACGAAGTTGAGTCTCGATTAAGTGCATTACTACGAAGACTCACAGAATTAGCAGCTGAAGATGGCAGAATACCAGTTTGTATAAAATTGACTGTGAGAAAAAATGATAGAAATCAGGAAAAACCTAGCTCTTCTTCGGGTAAACGAGAAAGTAGACAATGCACAATTCCACAGCATCTAGTTCCTCAAAATAAAGGGGCTAAAGGGGCTAATCTTTTATTTGATCACAAAAAAATTCTATCCCTGGTTATGAAACTATTTCATCGAGTTGTTAACGTGTCTAAGCCTTTTCATTTAACACTACTAGGCTTAGCATTCACTAAATTTCAAGAAGAAAAAGCTTCAGGAAAAAATAGTATTGCATCATTTTTGAGAAAGCAAGTAGCAGTTCAATCGGTTATGGACATAAGCTCAGAAGAAGGTTTCTCAGATGTAAGCTTAGGTTCTCCTATGAGCATCAATTTGCAAGATGAAGATGACAGCTATGAAGAATTAAGAGAAAATAAAGACTTGGGAAATAAAGTACAATTTCAGTCATACTCGTGTCATCGTGTTAGAAGTTTAGATAGAGCAACACCAAGCCCTATTGATATTCGTTGTAGCGGGGATGATGATGATGATCTTTTAAGTGAAATGGAACCATCTCCAAAAAAAACAAAACTGGAAGTGTGGTTGAGTGGAAGACGAGAATCTCCTAGTATTGAAATGGCTGATTTAAAATTAAATACTCCATCATCATCCCCAATATCAAAAAATTTATTACCAAGTGGACCAACAAACTTTAAATCAACAATACCTATAGATCTTGACAAGCAGATGAATCATTCCTGGTCCACAAACACAAGTGGAAAAAAATCAAATGAATTGTATAAATTCTTTATAGCTAACAAATAACTGCTAATATTGTAACATCGAGACGATTTTTTTTTTTTTTTGGAAACCAATGAACCATTAAAAACATTTTCTACTTTCTTTTTTACAAGTGAAAAGGTCAAATGTTTGATAACGTATGGTGCGCAAATGTCATATGTACCCAAATGTCTTACCTGCAGGACAGGGCAAGCGAACAAATAAAAGCAGTTTATATTTAGCTGTCAAGATTAATTTATACTCATTGTTATGAAAGAAATCATGCATAGTTTACTTGTAACAAATTTTCATTATTTTCAGGATGTAAGTGGTGGTGATATGAATTGAAATGTCAATATTTTTACAGCCAGTGTTATATTAGACATGTAGAATTATAAATAAATATAAAATTATTCATGTTTATAAATTACGATCTACTTTCATTTCTTTTATTGCATTTCCTTTTATCAACAGAACAATTTTTTAGTCTTTTCAGAAGTCAGAGTCAAATTTGATTCTAAGAATTTTAACATCAAAAGAAAATATAATAAAAATCATATTCTAATTGCATAGGCATTTTTTAAACTTAAAACTAACTAAATGACATAGAGTTTTGAATAAACACTTACAAGTTTTAGTGAGCGTAACACTTTTTCAAAGATCAATATAGAATTGAAAATTATAGTTAATTTTTGACAGTGTTCTTACCTCTCAATTTTACTCCTCAAACTCAGAGTACTGTTAAGTAGCTTCGTGATGCTCAAACTAGATGGCAACGATCCACTGGAGAAAAAACCTTCTAATTGGTTACTCGTGGCAATGTATATAATGAACGCCTTTCATTATTACTTTCAACTTGATGATGTTGATTGGTAAGCACTATTATCCGTCAAACGGGACAGTCAAGTTTTTGTTGTTATTGATAATAAAATTATCATAACATTAAATAAAAAATGTCATCATGTTCTCAATCGGGTGACTAAACGGAATGAGATTTTACCAATCTCTTCAGCGCTAAAAAAAGTATCCCCAGGCAAGTATCATTATTACTTTTGTCAATTTAAATGTTAATGTAATCAATCGACTAAATCTGTAGAACTTAAAACAAACTCGGAAAAATTAATAATTGGCGAAATGCATTAAAAATTATTACTGCGATTAACAAAGTAATTTTTGTTCTTGGAAGATTTTAAGAAAAATATGCAGCATATTTTTTATCAAATCTCTGTTTATTAATAATCTTCGACAATATGGGTTTCGATTCATACGCTTTCATTCACGTTTTTTATTCTCAAATTTACTCTTTTCACATCATGGTAATATTTGGTCGTGTATTAATGCTCTATTTTTAATAGCATCTGCTGTGTATGAAGAAATAGTTAAAATATAAGTAACAAATTACTACGCATGAGTTAAAGTATGCGAATTAAATACTTCTCCTGTTTACAATGACAATTATATGAGATTGAATTTAATAATATCTAAATGCTTTTTTTAACACCGATAATTTTTTTCACAAGAAAGAATATTATCCGTTAAAATCTAATCTAATAATAACAAAAAAGATGTGTTGTGTTTACATTACGTCATTCTTTTGAATAGTTGTTTTAACTATTGAACAAATTACAATCCTTTTTTTCCTGATAATATTGTAGATCATATTTCATTTAGAAGTTTTTTTAGAAGTTCTTGGACCATTGATACATTCCAATTTCTATAATTAAACATGAATAATAATATGGAAAGTAGGAAAAATCACTGATAGTAATTTTGAAGTTTGAAGAATCAATGGACATGTAGGAATTGAATGGGTACATTTAATGACTCTATGCGATTCATAAAAACTGTTCTGATCATTTAAGAACTGGCGCTCAAACTTTGCGCTAAAGATATAAATTTTTAACGCAATTCCAATTTTAATGCAAATTTTATTTTTATACAGATCCATTTCATTATTTCTATATAACATAATACACGAGTATTTAGCATTTAATTTAATGCATACCTAGTGCATTCATTGACATAAAACTGTGATATGTTGAAATATTAAATATCGTCATGTCTGTGTAGCTTACATCATTTCAATCGGTTTTCTCTTTTTTATAAAAATCTCCGCAAAGCATATTTTATTATTTACAATAATTTCTTATAGACATTAGTGGTACTATTGATAATTTTAGCTTCTTTTCGCATTTAGCTACGTGATCTTTCACAATATCACGGGAAATGCTCTGATTCGCGGACTAGGTGTAATGCATTTGATGTGATTAACGTACATTACATAATTGTGCAAAGTAAATGTACACGTTTTGTTTTATTTTATTTTTATATTCAGTTCCGTGTTTAGGAAAAATTTATGTTCAGAACAAATAGACTCTCTTAATAGACTTTGCAAATGGACATAATAGAAATACTATAAGTGTATACATTTATTTATAATTACTTAGCTTTTGTGATGCAGAAATTTTTTAGCTTTGATACAATCAAAATTTGTCTCATTCCTTCTTTCTGATTGCAATCTCATTTCTTGAAACACAATTGTCAATGTTGTACACTAAAGGAATAGATTTACACTGAGATAGTTCTAGCTGGTGGCTATTTTCTTTATATATTCACACATGTATTTTGTATGTAATATTTTGGTAAATTCTATACTTGATTGACATCAAAAAGACATCAAGTTTCATCATTTTCAGTGATTTGAATTGGGAAACTCGTCTCAAGCATTTGACATTTCTTTTAATGATTGCGTTACATAGATACACCTCTCTAGTCGTATACCTAATGCTTAATTTCTTTCTATATGTAAATATTTTATATACATTGAAGAAATTATTTCTGCCGATTATTATATCTTTTTCAAGGCAGTAACTTCAAAAATTAAATTATTGAGATGAAAATAAATTACCTTTGAAATGAATTAATTTTATTATTCATGTTATTTTCTCTGTTAACAAAGTACGAATTAACAAATAATTTTATTAAATTATACAATTTATCTGTGAATTAATTGATTATTCTCAACATGATTTGATCAAAGTACTTTTTGAATTGTTAAAGAGTAGATGTAAAAACCCAATATTTTTTATCTTTTAGACAATCGTTTTCTTTTCTTTTTCCTCCTGTCCCTTTAACTTGTGAATTTTTTTTAGAACATCAATCGTTTGATGCCAATGAAAATTTTAATTTTAATTTAGATAGAAGTTTGAACTATTTTGTTACCCAATCAAGAGGTTTGAAATTTTTAGTTGAATTGACAATGGTCAAGAAATTGCAATTTCTTTAGTTTCTGTTTAATCCGATATTAATAATGATATACATAAACGCATACATAAGTGCATACTGTTTTTCAGTTTTATCGCTAATTCGCATATTAAATTACCTATCTATATTATAAATATGTTCATCTTCTTCTTTATACTAATATTTCTTCCCGAAAATAACACTCGTACAAAATTGACTATGGCCGATTGCTTTTTATATTACGACGTATGAATTATAGGAGAGCAGTGCTTCAAAATAATTTTGTTAAATGCCTTCAAAAACGAATAGCATGTATACTTTGTCGATATACTTTTACCCTTTATTTTATTCACATAAAAAGATATATTTTTTTACATTCTGAATGAGAAATGCTAGTTTCCCATTATGCACGTTTATTCGAGTAGTCGTATTTGCGATATACGACTGCACATAAATATACGTATTGACCAAAATTTTTGTTCTGACGGAGCTTCAAATGGAAGAATTGTGCTTTTTTGTCTTCATTATTTGTCACAATGCTCTTGCCATTTCACGCAAACATTTAAAGACTAATGTACTATAATAATAACTTATAAAAAATTAAATCTTGTTGCTGCTTTGCTCTACGTTCTTTCAGCTTATGTATTACTTTAGGCCTACGTATCTACGACATTTACATTTCAATACCGTTTTGCTTATACTTATTTTAGCTGCTCACTAATTGATCATAAACATGTTTTTTTATAATACACGAGGTTTTTTTTGCATAAGCTTTGAGATATAATTTGTTACAATTTATAATATATACACACTGATTTGATTTTTAAATTTAGACAATATCAAGTTTATTTCACGAATATTCACACAAACGGGTTTAAATTCGAATAAATTATACTGACACTCATAACTTGAGAAGAATTTAATAGTTCTATAGCTTCAAATTCACTAAGCTCAATGCAATGCTTGATAAAAATAATTTACTGTCGCGTTGCTGATAAATATTGAAAAAGTCACAACTTTAAAAATACATAACAAGTAGGAGCATAGAATTTGAGAGAATACATAAAATCAAGGTCAACAAACAGTTTCCCTTTATCCAAGTCACTAAATTAGCTCAAAAGGGTGGTTTGTGTATTTATATGTGTTTGTGTATGCATTCACGATATAGGTATATATATGGGCAATTGTTATCACACGATTATGTACAATTCACTGGGCTAGAAATTCATTCAGCGTCAGTTTCTCGGATCGTCTTTCGTTACTATATTTCGCCCCTTTTGCCGACGACACTTTGTTTGGTCTTGACAAAATATTCATAGATCATTTTATCTTTCCAACTATACGCTTCTCTTTTAGATACAAACTATAAAGATCATTTGCTTCTTTGACGATAGTGCCTGGCCCGCCGATCGTTTTCATCGTATTCTTTTTTCTTCTTCTTTTTTTTTTCTAATTCAACGATCCGCGGATACGGTCGTCCGTTGGAGCGACCGAAGCTGCTCCAAGGGCACTCAGGGGATGCACGTGTGCGTGTTGCGCGCTTGGCCAGGCATCGAAAGGGCCACAGAGTAGTCCGAGTCGAGAACGAGGTCGCTAACGCACCCGACGATACCCTTGAGATATTGGCCTCTCGTTGTTTTTTCTATGTCCGGAGCTCCACCTGTGTGCGCAAAACGAGTCATTCGTGCGATTAATTATAATTCTTTTTATATCCTCGTTGAATAATGTGTTCTTTTTTCGTGCGCGCCGGTTAATTGAATCGATGGCGACTAAGGGCAAATTTACTCACCTACGTAGAGTCCTAATTCTGTATTGGGTTGTCTTTGTTCATCTTGAGACTCGATCCACACGCTGCTACCATTGTCAACGACTAACGACGCTCGCTGCTTATTCCTGCAATGAGTAAAAAAAATGTATCACGATCGTTGCGTGTATTATTTAAGCGAAAAAAAAACTATATCTACGAAATACAAATGATTAACCTCGTGGCTCTGACGCGGTGCCAAAGGTCGTCGTCCAATCTCGTGAGATTGTATCGTAGAACACTCTTACGGGAGCCGAGATTATGAGTAAACGCGAGATAGCCTTGGTCAAGCCCAAGCGCGAAGAAATTGTTGGATCTATCGCCCGTCCACAGTAGTAATCCATCGCTGCTCGCTCGGAAGCGCATATTTATGTCGACTTTGTCGCTCGTTAGCCTATATAATAATTAGTTGTAAAAATTTAGAACAATCGATGTACATGGTTCAACTCGTGGAATATAAATTAATCACCTCTTTAACGTATCGACGTCGTCGTAAAACAAATAGCTGTCGATGCCCGTAAAACTAGGCACCGATCTGTCTGCCTGCTGCTGCTGCTCCTCCTCGGCGCGCTCCAGCATACTCGTGGAGACTACGGGATAAATGCTTGGGAGGATCGTCGTTGCGGCGGTCGTACTACTGCTGTCGCCGCTGCCACTTGCTGCTGCTCCGTGCTGAAACTTGAGCTCGAGAATCTGTTTCTGGCGGACGTTTATCGCGGGACACGGATGAGGCAGGCCGGGTCGGCAGCGACAGGTGAACCTGTCGCGCAGCGGCCTGCACTCGGCGTCGCCGCACGGCCGCGACTCGCAGGCGTGACCGCAATTACCCACGTTCGCTCCGCCCAGCGCCTCAGCCAATATGTTCATCTGGAAATTAATGAACATGATTTTTCTTTGATGCTGCTTTTGCTCGTCCAAAGCACGACAAAAATAAGTTTGAGTTAATCTCCCGTTCAACGTTTCATTTTATTTTCTAAACAAATGTTTGTCTTGTTTCGACCAAAGGCCAATAAAAAAAAAACAAACAAGTGTTGCATGGATTTCAAGGAGTGTTTATTCGAACTATGAAGCAAGTTATACGTAAGAATAGTAATGAAGACTACTTTTGGAATCCTCAAAGCATCTCCGGTCTATATACAGGAGTGCCAACTCGGAGTTGTATGCATCTCGTGGTTGTATGTACTTATAGATAGTCAGAAGGAAGGCAGGCAGCTTTAGTTGTAAAGTTTTCGCGCTCCCTTGCACACTTTCTCGTACATATATACAAGACGAGGGCTGTTTGAGTTTTCAATCCCCTTGTATACTTCTCTCTCTCTCTCTCTCTCTCTCTCTCTGACGTGTGTTTATTCGCGAGCAATGTGGCATACAGTGTGAGTGCATCGACGCGGACGCGTTCCTCGCTCATACGCACGACGAAGATAACACAAGACGCTCGCGCGGGAGCGTCAATTTGATTTTTGTTAACACTGCAAACTTGATTGGCGTTTCAAAAGCGACTACAAGAGATGCCTTTATAGCCGTTGATTGAAATAGATTCTCGCGTAAAACTTGCCCCCGCGATATGTGCATACGCTTCGTGACAATCGAACCGAAAATAAACTGAGAAATTCACTCGACATTGCGCGCATCAAGACGCTCTCGGTGGTTTTATTTTTGAATTTTCCATGAGTACTCGGGCGTGTATACCAAGTTCGGAATTAGAGACGAGCATATACCATATAGAGTATAGTATCAAGGAGCCCAGGCAGCTCCATTTTTGGCTAAGTAAATAAGTCAAGGTTCGCTCTATTATATATTTGCCTAGTTGCACTCTCCACTACGTTGCGAAACTTTATATATGCTATATATATACCTCTCGTCGATTCAGCAGTACGGTCTGTATGCAGCCGACGAAGTTGCTCTTGGTCTTCAGCTTGTTGGAGAACATGTCGGTGGACGGCGCGCCGCCCAGATACATGTTCAGCGGCAGCGACAGCTGGGTGAACGCCCCGGGCGACAGTATCTCCTGGGCCGGGCTGCGCTCGACCTCGAGCGACGCCAGACGACCGGTCCTCGACACTCGCACCTCCACCCATTCGCCCAGCGCTATTGGCTTCTCGCTCCTGACGAAGATGATATTTTATTATTAGTACATTCTTTTTTTTTTGCGTGACTCGATCGATAATTCGCGGGTGTGTATTTCAGAAATCGGATTTGCATAGGCAAACACGACGTTAGATACAAGGATAATCGCTCGGCGGCGGCGGCGGCTTAATTGAAGCAGTCCGTGTATATGAATCGAGATATCTATCTGTTTTATTAAGAGAGGCTAGGTAGAGTGTTATACGCTGCTGCTGTAACGAAATGGCACGATTAGAACCACGAACGATGTTGACGTAGTAGCAAGCATATAAATCGCAACACGGCTCGTGAATATTCATGTTTGTATTATTTTCCTGCGCCGCGCATAATAGTCTTTGCGTTCCTTTGTTGCTGCTGTACAATATGCTTGCGATTGCCGAGGGTTTACGTGTTCGTGCGCGATTTTATGCGCGCAGACAACACGAGTAATCATCGAAGCCTAATAGGGCTATAAACATCGCTTGTGTGTGCCGAGGACCTGATAATCTAACCGATGTTCTGATCGATTTTATTCGTATACGAGATATTAGTAGGCGAAAATAAACTCGTTCAGTTTTTGCGCGAAAGCTCTAGGATATTTGTGGATCGAGTATTTTGCATGAGTCGAAAAACGACACTCGAGCCATTGAATACTGTAGAACTCGTTTAAAAGTGCATTCGTTGGAGTTATGGAAATCGCCGAAAATTATTTTTAGCCGAACCAATCCGCTGCGGTTCAATAATCATTTAGAAAACTAAAATAGAGGTAACAAGTGTAAATTATGAACAAGCACCGTATGACACAACGGGAATTATCAATGTTTAAACAGTCGAGAGCGGATAAAAGTGGAGTTACTGCGTGCATCCGTGAAATATTAAACCAGTCTCAACAAATATGGGAGTTTATATTTCAATACTTAAAAATATGACGTTCTCTCTAATGGGTCTGACTATTTTCATCGATATACCACTCGAGTCGAGAAGTATAGTTGGAAAGTACAACGATTATTTATTTTCCACGTCGCATAACGACCGCTACGTCGGTGGTTTATTTTTTATTACTTAAACAAAAAACTACTAGTCGTAAGAAAGCTTACCTCAGCGTGGCGGTACCAGTGCCAAGATCGAAAGTAAAGTGCACGTGACTCTGGACGAGATAAAGAGCTATGAAATCGCCGGTCGTGTCGCTGTGATGGCCATTGTAAAGAATGACCCCGTCAGCGGCGAAAGGTTTGATCGTCAAGGATAATTCCAACCAGGAAAGCGACGTCTCGGCCAGTCCAGGATATTTCAGATACGAAGAGCCATTGAACGATGGGACCTGTGAAAAATTAAGAATAAATTATTTCGTCACATTTTTCAAATGTGTTTTTGTTCAAACGATAATGAATTATATTCGCCGTACGATTATCCGATTATGCAAATATATCAATACTATTAATTTAAAGACACACGCGTATAATACTTGCTTTGAACAAGTAATGAAATTTATCAAATGAACGTATTGCGCTAATGGTAATTTTATCCCGATACGAAACTGCGTGGAACGTGCGAGAGCTGATAAAGCTTCTCGTATTGTCTTTGCCACACTGAAATATCGATTCATACATGCTAACCGTGCTCGCGCGCTCGCGATCGTACATTCGAATTTTTTTTACTTCGAACCGTATACCTGCAAAAACTTGGATTATTAACTGCAGCACCGTTGATTGTTTTAACTTTATCTTTTCCATACGTTTCCAATTATTAAAAGCACTTGTGCATCTTCGTAGCTTTGGTATTTGATATTCAATGTAAGAAATTAGCATTTTATTATTACAAACGTTCTCATTTTCCATGTACGTTCTACCGGAGTACGAGCGCGATAAGTTTTTTGAGCTTTTACAATGGTTAAACGAGCTTGAAGAGCCGCGCGTATCGCTTTAATCCAATATTCTGAGAAACAATGCGGGAAACACGTGTACGCAACAACTCCGGACTATCGAGTATGCAGTTCATTGGTCGTTAGTATATCATTGAATTATGTACACAAGTTTTCTGGGCTATATAGGCGAGAGATACCACTGGCTATTGTGCACTGTTGTATAATATACGAAGCTGCAGAGCTCGTCGCACGATGTAAAGTAGGGCAATGGGACGAAATTGGAACTCGGACGGTTCGCTTCTATTAAAAATAAAAAATGTCCCGCAGGAAGAAACATTTCAATTTTATATAAATGCTTCCAACCGCGTATCCGATTTTTCTTCTTTTCGTCCCAAATTACCGCGTCAAAAACGTTAATTCGAACGAATAAGTGTGTGCAATGACAATCGATATTTTCACGCGGGACAGGTACTAATTGATGAAAATTGAGCGTCACATTTACCTGGAGGTCGACTCTTGTTTCGCAGAGGTCACCCGTGTAGCCGAGCGGACAGAGACAGACGGCCGTGTCGCCGCTCGTTGTCAAGCATTTGCCACCGTGCGAGCACGGCACCTTGCTGCAACGATCCGCCACGCATTTATCTGAAATATGTTCGAAGTCTACTTAATTCGTGGTCAAACGTTATTCAGCAGCGTCGCTTGGAATTCCAATGAAATCACCGATGCTTCCGTTAAATGTTTTAACGAACAACAAGTGGTGATTTCATTGATTGACAAAAATCTTTAGGGCAGACTTTGCAGACTTATTGCGAAGTAAAAATGGAAATCAATGATCTCTCAACCTTTATGCAATTGATTCTTATAATCTTCGTTCTAAATATATTTTTTAAATTCATAGGCGTTTGATAGACTTAATAGTCGAAATCCCATATTCAAGAGTAAAACATGACCGATCATAATAATAGCCGACAATCACTAGGTTGCAAAGTCAATTATGTTAAACCTGAACGCGAACTCTATAAATTCAATATTGATCGAACGGAGCATAATACAGTTAGCAAACTCAATTTTCTCACGCGCTAACGTACGTGCGCTGCCGTTAATTTTCCAATGAATCCGATTTTGATTTCAATCAAACACCTATATGAATCGGCGCATTCGGCAAGATGCAGCGCCTATAGGCACATTATCCTCGAGACAAGGTTGAGACATTCGAGAGTATATAAGCATCTCTTTGCGTCGAATCATATAATGCATTATGTATAGACTCACCGACGTCGAAACCATTGAGAGCATCGCCGACGGGAGCCAAGGGGAAATGATATCGATGCTCGTTTATCTCCAAATTTCGGACGCAGCCTTTGAAGCCGGATCTTATCGGCAGACGCTCGAGGCCCGTGGTGTTGCCTGGCCCGCCGACGAACAACGGCTCCCGGAAGGTGATGCGCGAAAATAAACCCTGCAACGGACAAATTTCAGATAGTTATTTTATATAGTTTATATTAATCAGGAAAATGCAGAGTTTGCTTTGGCATCGTGTAAAATCGTAAACGGACGATTTCATTTACATGTTAATTGAAACTTTGCACACACACTTAATAGGCCCTACCACTTAAATTTGCCTAGAAAATGTGTAAACAAGGAGAATATTGACAGGTACGTACTGCGTTGCAGCGAAGCATTGCTTAATCCGGGTTATTCGTATATTTTTCCGTTATTTTTTTATTTTATTTTTCAATGCTGGTGATGCATTTTTAACATAGTAAAACCAAACAAAACAGCGTGGAAATATCAGAAGCTGTCAGGGGGGAAAAAAATAAAAGCAAAGCAAGGGAGAGCTTCCATTAGCATCCAAAAGGTAAAAGTATGAAATATAAAACGAAAATATGAATGCAACTGTAGGTAGAGAATGTGGGTTGAGCAAAAGTATACCTGCTGTATACGGGTATAGGGCAAAAAAATAAATGCGATAGGACGAGGCGAGACTACTGGTCAATATAAATGGAGATACACGTACAGACACACACACACATGGCTGATTTTGAATAAAGCCGCATCAGAGGGTTTTACCTCTCTCTCTTTCTCTCTCTCTTAGTGATACTCGAGAGACGGGTGTACTCGGTATACCGAGAGGAGATGTTCTCGATGAAAAATTAAATTTCGTCCCCTCGTATTATATTCGTCGTGGACAAGAATGTCTGATGTTTTCCGCGCATTGTAAGCTCTTTTCGTCTGTCTGCCGCATGGAGGCAATATTGTGTGAGTGCGCGAAAAAATAAATACAACCGAATATAGCCGAATCAATAGAGAGTGTTCTGACGAGTTCCTGTGCCATTGATATAATAAAAATATAGCTGTAAATATTTTTGTTCCTTTATGAGCGTAGTAGATATAAAGCAGAAAATAGTTGCTAATAGTCACTTTTATTTGAAGCCAAGCGAATAAATTGATAGAGTAAAGAAAAATAAGGTGAGTCTCTAGTATGAAAATGTTTAAGAAGCAATTTTCCTCAGCGTGTTATATTCATCATAATAATTATTATAAATAATTACTTGGAGGATTACAATACAACATAATTGAATAGTTAATTATATTATCTATGTTTTGGGAGATTCGAAAATACGCCAATTGTCAACTACAATATAAAGAGATTATTATGATAAAAACATCGTGAATGCACGCGATCGATGTTTTTTTTCTTCTTCCAGTCGAGTCTTTCGGGGCGGTGGCCGCATGTCACCGGCAAAGTGGCGGGTACGTACACCGACACACGATTTTTTTTATTAAATTTGCCATACGAGTTAGTCGGCGCTGCGTTCGGGGATACAATGACGTTTAAACCGGAATTTCATTTGAACCGTGGTCAGAGGGGAGGAGGCGAGAGAGCTTGCACACGATCGATCGAAAACTTTTCAAAGTTGCTACGAACAACGCTGATCGATGAATAGCAGCAGCAGTTCAAGACTATATCCAAGAATAGATTTGAACGATTTAAACATCTCAAGCCCCATATGGTCGAGATAAAAGTAATCGTAATTCGAGACAATTAGATGAGAAAAAGCGAGAGTCACCGCAGGGTCTTTTGTCATTAAAGTATACGTGCTTCATTATTCATTATAGCAAGATTAAAAATCAAAAATGATCGCGAGCTGCCGCTTATCGTAGCTTTGGCAGCGCTACTTAACAAAGAAAAGCTTCAACTCCGTATGTATAACAAAGTGTATGCGTGTACACGGAGGGAGCTGTAGGCTGCGATGTAGAATCGATCGCGCAGGGCTCTCGCTTCAACACACGTTCTACCATACCGCGGGTGTATAAAGCCCAAGATTCGAGGCTTTTTTCTTCGAAAACAAATTACCTGCGAGCTAAGCGGTATATAGCGAGCCGAGAGACGCGGCTGCGGCGGCGGCGGCCCTTTGCTATACGTACGTACCCTATATACTATACGTAACATAGCGTAGAGAGATCGAAGACAAAGGGCGTTTTATTCCACACCATGTACATATAGAGAGAGAGAGAGAGGGAGAGAGAAGAGCTGCGCGAGGCTATACGTATACCATATAGACTCTATACACTGCCAAGAAGGGGCAGTTAAGTTTCATCGATCGAGCTTTCGCTTTATATACTATATACATATTGTATAAAAGAACTGCGCGCATAATATCAGCTGCTCTCTCTCTTTTCTACTACGTATATAAGACGCTCGCCTCATTGCTGTAATTGGTTTCTTTCAATGGATTTTTTTTTCTAATTAGATGCTTTGCCCGCGTTATGTTGCTCTCTCTCTACCTCGGTCTATATGACCCCTCTGCTGCTACATGGCTTCGCACGGGGCTTTGTTTTTAATTAGCCGCGGAATAATTTTCAGTGAAAAGAGCCGAGAAAATGTGCTTGAGAGGAGGAAAGTATAAAAAAAAAACCAAGCGAGGGCAAAGGCAATGGGCCGCGAGTCTCACCCTTCGTCTCTTGTGGCGCTGCTGCTTATTATCTACGATCGAAATATAAGGAGAAAGAGCTTGAGATCCAGAGATAGAATTCAGGATTTAAAAAATTACCCTTATTATTTCTAAAACGCGATTAAGCTATTTTGACGCTGCGCAGTCGCGCGCGCGCGCGCGCTTATCGTTGATCCTTTTTTTAGATAGTTTCGAGTGTGTGTGTGTTTGTGTGTGTATAAGCAGGCCAACGAGGTCATGATTACAATTAGATCTTGATCGTTAGCTCGTTAAACTGGAAAACTATGTTTAAATAGACCGACAAATGCTGTGCCGCGCGGCGTCGAACGAGACTTCCCATTAACATGGGTATAAGCCGACCGCGAAACAACGTTAAAGGCCCAGATGGCTGCACGCCGCGCGACAGCTAAATTTTCGCTCTTATCCCTGTGTAAACCTAACCGTCACACCTGCATCTCTCCGTTCTCCGTTGAAGTTTAAAAAATTATTACGCAAGATAAATCGGTCGACTTATTTTTTCTAAGTTAATGTCGTCGCTGTTTCTGAACTTTCAAACATTTCTTCTGTACGAATACGATTGAATTCTACATAGAAGCGCTGGTGTTGCTGCTGCTGACTCCAAGAAAGTGAAAATCTAATCATGGTTCTTCAAAATTGAATAATGCATCGCGGAGCTTTCTTAGAGTCGCGGAAAATCAAAGTTTATAAGTATTTTAAAACGTTCTTCCCAGCTTCTCCATTTCGTATCGTATATAGCGTGTTTCTAATTTACTTTCGGAATAACTTGCCCGAGTTGGCAACCTATTTTGAAAATTTTCTTTCATTTTTCATTGTTATTTATTTATGAATTCATGCCGAAATTCGAACTTCTCTCTCTATCTCCTCGGCCCGAAATGCATCGTTGAAAAACATCATTGACGCCAAATAAGCTTAATTAGGAACGAACTTTTATTTGTCAATTCTTTAATTCAAATCAAAATTGATGACAGATTGATTTGCTTTCTCGAGTCACTGTGTCAATAGAAATAGTTCAATTTACTTTTTAACGATTCGCACGCGTCATAAATAAACCGATTGACCGACCAGACTGTAACACATTTGACTTTACTCCAAATCATTTTACATTTACATAAACGCACTTTTGGTATACACAGAAGCCACTCGGAGTTTATTTAAAAGTTAATGCTCTTAGCAAATAAGAGAATGACCCTGAGAGCGCGCGTAATTCCCAGGCGGGCAAATGGAAAAGCGAATAAGAAGTTCCTGCTCTTGCGAATGGGCGATTGCCTCCGTCAACGGCAATTTTCCGGGCTTTGAATGAATTCTCTGAGAAAATTGATTGAAAAGCTTTGAGAGAGAGAGAGAGAGAGAGGAGGGGAAATTGTTAATCTGACTGTGCAATTCAGCGATAGCAAGCCATCGAGAGCCTTGTACAAATATACGTCGATGAGCTTTTGTACGGCCTATACGCACAACTCTCGATCTGTATAATTTTTCCCAAAACTTTGGGTCCCGATTGGTTTTTGTCGATTTGCGCATTCCATTAAAAAGAAGCAAGAGACATGTTATATATAAGGGGTGGTGGCGCGAAAGCCAACAACACGGAGAAATTGAGTTTTGGCTCGCGTGCGCGCACAAAGCCAAAACCGATCGCAGTCACGCGAAGCCGAGCGAGCGAATAGTTTAGCGCCGCCGCCACACCCAAAGTTTCGCGCTAGCATGCATAATTTATGGCACGTGTATACACATCGATGCAGCGGCGTCGGCGACGCATTACCAAGTTTTCCCTGTAAGAGCCCCCAAAAAAAAGAAGAAGAAGAAGACGGAGTAGCGCCACGAGATAAAAGTGGAGGACTGGGGGGAAAAAAGAGCGAAATAACAGAGTGCGCATCGATTTCTGTCTCATTAAGAGTGTAAAGTGTGCGCACTACTACTAGCTGCGTGCGTATAAAATAGGATAGGTGCCGCCGGAGGCAAGAAAAGCGCCCCGCTGCACGACTATGCTGCGCTGTATAGCTTTGAAAAAAAACTTATATATGTATACCAGCTCGCGATATGTGCCAGAGCATGTGCGGAGCGATATGTGTGCTGCTGCTGCTGCTTGGGCGTATAACGAGGATCTTTTTATGCTGTTTACCGCGACCTTTTTTTGGTTTTTTTTTTGTCTATGTTGAAAGCCAACGAGATCTTTTTAGAGCAAAATTTTTGTCGTGATGCATGCGCGGGCAAAGAAACAAAAAAAAAAAGATAACGTTACTCGTATCGTTCCGACGAGCGAAAAATTTTTCTATTGTGATTTGGTTACGGTTAGAATCTTTAATTTTCGTTTGAATTCTTTACTCCTGCTTTTGTTTTACTACGAATTATAGAATTTAACTTTTGCGAATGATAAATACATCGAGTCATTTTTTTTGATAAATCACAACTTGGCAAAGAGAAAGCGCGATAAAAATGCACGATTCGACGAAAATTCGGGCGAAAGAACCAAGTCGAGCGAGCACTT